CGGAACCTTTTTCTCTTCCTGAAGAAAACCTTTTAGTATTTTCTTAGGTGTAGATATACTGGTAACAATTTCTTTAATCTTTTGTTTGCCTGAAAATGTCTCTAGTTCACCTTCATTTTTGAAGAGTATGTTTGTTGCTATAAGTCTGATTTGGCAGTTATTTTCTCTTAGAATTCTCCTGCTGCTAGTATTTCTGTTAAGAAGTCAGGTCTTAGTAAAACGAGCATTCCTTTGAAGGTAATGTGTAGTTTGTCCCCTGATTTCTTTTTTTGTTTTGCTTTATTTATTTATTTATGTTTTTTGTGTGTGTATTTTTATTTAAAAATCAGAACATTTCAAATAACTTTATATATTTTCAGCTTCTTATTTTTTTAAAAGGGAAGGGTGCGTCTGACAACACTGGGCCTGCACGTAGGCATTCAGTTGAATGGAGGCAGAAAGCCTCTTTAGAGGGTATTTACATTCTGGTTTTTAGGACTATAGGCCTTGTATCTTAGCCACCTGGCTTCTGTAGATACCTGTGATCATGATCTTTGGGTTAGAATCAGCAAAGGGTACCACACCTATACCTGCTCCTTCAACTCAGGCCTGGCTCTACAGATCTTCTCAGCAGATGAGTGTCTTAGAGCTCAGATCCCTTCATGGGAGGGATGACTCATTGAAAGGGCTGCAGAAGACCTGAACCTACCCAAGGCTCTGAAACTCTCACTACTGAAAAGGAATCAATTGAGCTTCACCTTGATCAGACCTTCAATCTCTTCTCTTCTGTTTCTTCTTTTTGGCCCTCTGGCTAACGTTGACTTCAGCTCTTTCCTTCTCTGGATGCTGCTTCTTCTTCCTCTTCTTATCTCTACTGCTTGGACTAGTATGTGTTCTGCTCTCTATTTCCCTAGTCTTGCCAGCCCCTGCAGTCTCCTCATCTTCCTCCTCCTCTTTATTCTACTTCCTTTTCTTCTTGCTTCCCCTGCTACTTTGGTCACTGCCTGCTGTGTTTGCTGCTTCCCTAGTTCTATCATTTACAGACGCTGCCTTGTCTTCTTCATCCTCTGTGTTCAAACCATCCTCCTCCTCACACTGCCGTCTCTTCTTGCTTCTGCGGCATTGGTCAGTGTGTGGTCTGTCCTCCACCTCCTCTGTCTTGTCACCCCCTGCAGCCTCCTTACCCCCTTGTCCTTTATCCAAGATCCCTTCCTCTTGCTGCCTCCTCTTCTTTTTCTTTCTTTTCCTGAGGGGTTGATCAATTTGTTCTCCAATTTTCAATTCCCCAAGCCCACTTGTGTCCTGCAGCCTCTTCCTCATTCTCTACAGTTTCCTCTCTCTCATCTGAGACTTTGTCTTCTTCTTTTTTTTTTTTTAATGTGATAGTTTACATGGGAGAACATTAGTTTTACATTCATTCTATCGTATATCGTCTCATTGCCATGGTTACAATCCCCTCCATGCAATTCTCCCCCCTGTGCTCCCCAGGTCTTCAGCACACAGTCGCTCTCCCTCTCTGGATCTAAAGTCTCTAGCTGCTCCATCACTCCACGTCATCATCTCTGCCTCCATTTCAGGGATCACTGCTTCTCTGGGTAGGGTCCCGCTCTCTGCTCTTCTCCCTTGATATGGTCCTAGGGACCTCCGCTCCTAGACTGAAAAGTTAATCACTCCCCTCCTTGCTATAAAACGTCTACCTTTACATTTCCAATCCTCACAATCAGTCCTGATAACAATTATTCACTATTGTATCACAAGAGACCTGTCTGCATTTCATTGCATCAACCCCGCCTAGACAGATTGAATACTACTCACTGGAGATTCTATCTTCCTCCATGCCCTCTGGATCTAGGTTCCCTCTTGAAAGCTTGTAAGCCAGTCACTTCTTGCCTTTGTAGCCCCCCACCCCCCATTTTGGGTAGTCAATGTTCAAGTTGCCCATCCCTGTCTACTCTGTGTGTGGAGGGTGTGGGAATGATTTTTGCTGTAAGGACTTGTTCCATCTTTTGAGCTACTGCTTCCATAGGTGTAGGTCATGTTCATCAAATTGTGTGAGAATATTTTTTTTTTTTTCCTCTTCTTTTTTACTTCTGGTTGAGCTCTGATCATCCAGTCACTGAAGCCAGGATAAGTGGGTATTATCTGCAAGTGTGGGTGTTCTTATGTATATGCCTTCTCTTCTTATCAGCTGGACACTTCACTTTCTACTCTAGTCCTCTGTGGCTATGTCACTGACTCTGGCCCAAGAGTCCTCAGGTCTTGCCACACTGCTGGCCAACCAAGTCTTCAGCCGGGTTCACAGAAGTCTATTGAACGTTGTAGGGCTTAGCTCACTGCTTCATTGCTGTTTTTCCCTCACTTCCCCTTATCGGTGTCGAGTGTGGTCACCAATCACAGTGTGTATTCCCACTGAGTCTTAGTCTTGGAAGGGGGTTTGCACTGAGGGGACCTGACCACTTGCCTTGATGTTTCCTGGGCGACTTTGTCTTCTTGATGTCGCCTTTTCTTCTTGTTGCGCTTCCTGCTCTCTAGGACTGCAGTCAGTCTGTTCTGGGTGTTCAAACTCTGGTTAGTCTTTTCTGGGCATTCCATTTCTCCATTCCTTTCAGTTGCTGTAACCTTTTCCACCTCTTTTGATTTCTTTTTCTTTTTGTGGGAGGGCTTGCTGTCAGACTGTGACTGAGTGGTCTCAGGGTCCTGGCCTTTGAGACTAGCCAGGAAGGCCTGTTCCTGGGCTTCCAGCCGAGCAAGCTTGGCCTTCATTGTGATTCCAAGACGGGCAGCTTTGTGTGCTGTTTGCTCCTCATAGGCTTGGAGCAGCATCTCATCAGTCAGACATCATTGTGCAGTCCCCTCTGTGGAATCATGTGACCGGTCAGACTTGGGTGCCACCATCTTTCCGGAAACCCCTGATTTCTTTTAAGAATTATTTCTTTGGATTCTAACAATGTTGCTAAAAATTTTCTAGTGTGGTTGTCTTCCTTTTTATTGTGCTTGCATTTTCTGTACCGTTTAATTTGTGGTTAGGAGCACTATGGCAAACCACAAAGTCCATGGTTTGAGCCTACCAGCTGCTCCGTGGGAAAAAGATGAGGTTTTCTGCTCTTGTGAAGATTTAAAGCCTCAGAAGCTCTATACAGGGTCACAACGAGTCAGAACACACTTGGCAGCACTGAACAACAACAACAAATGTGTGGTTTGAAGTTTTTCTTAAACTTTGGGAAATTCTCAACATCTGTCTGTTAATCCTTCAATTTCCTCTTTAGCTTTTGTCTCATTTGATGTTTAAACTCATTCCTTAAATTCTTAATTTCAGGTGTTTTTTGTTTTTAGACTTTTCATTTGATTCTTTTTATCTAGTTTCTAGTTCTTAGCCAAAGATGTCCATTTTTTCTTTAATTCTCCTGAACTTTTAATTCTTTCGAAGTTTATTTTGGATAGATTTAGTATCTGGATATTGTATATTTCTGAGGTTTTTTTTTTTTTTTTCTTTTCTCCTCATTATTTTTAGTAAAATGAAGTCTTCTGTTATACCTAATAATTTTTTGATTCAATGTCAGACATTTATTTGTGAAAACATTATTGGGGCCAATTGAGGCTCTTGATAATCTTCTAGAAGGATATGTTTTTGCTTCTAGTAGGTATTTACAATGATCTGAAGCTGAGCTTCAATCTTATGAGAAATGGCTCATTTCTGGTATACCCTTACTCCTAGTGGATCACAGCTGAAAATGAAGGTTTGTCACCTTGACAATCCCTAAATGAAAATTTCTCCAAATCTTATAAACTATGCTCAGCATCTCAGTCTCTCATCTGCTTCTCTAGGAATCAGCCACTATCTTAAGGAAAAAAAAGTACCAAATGATAACTACTTTTCTAAGCTTTTTTCCCTTTGTGGCCTTGGTTCCTGAAGTCTTTACTGCCTTGGTATATAGTCAGAATCTTTTAATTAATTTTTAAAAGTTTTTTTCCCCCAGCTTATCTGATAGTTGTTGGAAAGAAGTTAGCCCATCATTCCTAGTGAACTGTTCATCCTGGCTTGTCCAGGAGAGCCCAGATTATACTGATTGTCCCAGCAGAATTATTTCTTACACATTTTTCCATTCACAAGTGTTCTGGTTTGGATGATAAGCTATATGGTCATCCACCAATAAACCACAGTACTTATTGCACTACACACAGGAAACAAAGGACGTTACAATAGTTGGAAGGGTGACAGTGATTAATATATGAACTGCTGGCTCCTCTCACTTATTAGATTCACCTTTCTGCCTCCCTTATTTCTCAAAAGTGTTCAACAGCCAAAAAACATCCTTCTCATGGACGATAAAAGTGGTTAGCATAATTGCAAGAATATTTTCCTCTTCAGGGCATTTTGATCCAGCAAACTGGGGAAGCAGGTTTCTGGCTTTCCTCTACATTTGTCTCAGTCTCAGTGTTGCCTATAGTCTCAGTGTTCCCCTTTCAGTAGATAAGTTCCATAACGGTTTCTCCCTGTCTTTGATTTAGACTCTCCCTCAAAGTGTGTCTAGTTTTATGAGATACGGAGAGTCCTGTGCAGTAACAAATGCAACTGTGGATTGACTGAGCCAAAATTTACCTGCCCTGACCATCCACCACAGGAGACCAGCAGTTGCGTCCATAAATCTGTCCTGTGAATGTAACCCATGGATGTAGTTAATTTAGGCGAAAATTTGGAAGAGGATGTTTACCTTAAATTCCACTGATAAAAATAAAGAATTCAGGTTCTTAGGGGAAGTTCTGGTGCACTGAGGTTAATGCAGACAGTTCCATCACCTCTTTGAGGTTTGAAATTTCAACAGTCACTTTACCATTTCTAAGTGTGGCTGTGGTAAAATTTTTTACACAAATTTATGAATTACAAAGAGTCAGATGGAGAATTAGACCTTCTCCTCTCCTTGGCTTTGTACTAGTACTTTTATTGCCGTAATACTTTCCAGAGGAAAACAATCTCACAGGGTTGGGGACAGTTCATTTTATCTTCTTGAGTTTCTCCATAGGCCCTGGTGAAAAGAAATATCAAGGTGCTGCTTTTAACTGCTGACAATGGGCAAGAAGTAACAAAAGGCCACTTACAAAATGGTATGCATTTGGTTTTGTTCTACTTATTCCACTAATGGAGTCTGAAACAGAGCCAAGACGCCTTCTGATGCTTACTCTTTCCACTTTCCATTAAACTAGACCTCATAGTCTTTGGGCACAGTGATGGGTACTCCCTGTCAGTACTGAGAGTTAAAGAGCCAGCTCCCTCCTCTCTGCTGTCTTCATACAGCATCATCAACTGTGCAGAACACTCACTCCGTACTCCTCAACCTCTTAGTGGTCTAGAGTGGGGCCCCTGGCTGGAACCTGAGAAAGACCATGTCTGTCATTGTCAAGTGATTGTGACTAAGCACAGAAGTTTTGCAGTGTCAGAGAAACAGCACTCTCACGGACTGGGCTCCAGGAGAACATGCTCTGTGGTGGGGTAAACAATTCTGGTTATTAAGGCCAGGAGAGAAATGCAAGTGAGCTATAAGGCGATACCATGGGTTGATATGCAGGGAAATGGAAAAAGGCAATGCACAAATAGATGGAGTCAGAGAAAAATACTCTTTGAAATTCTTTAACCCAAGCAATTTTTGGAGTTCTGGTATGGCGCTACAGGATAATGCGTTGGACCGAAAGTTCAGTTTGAACCGAAAGGTCGGCAGTTCAAACCCACCAGCTGCTCTTCGGAAACCTTATACAAGGTCGCTGTGGGTTGGCACTTAACAACAATAACAAACCCTCAGCTTACCTTGGGGTGCTGGTGCGGCACTGTAGGATAAACACTGGACTGCTAACTGCAAGGTTGGCAGTTCAAACCCACCAGCTGCTCCTCAGAAACCCTATACAGGGTCTCTATGAGTTGGAACTGACTCGACAGCCCTTAACAACAACATACCCCATCTTATAGTGGGAGTGGCAGAATAATAGTCAGAAGATCTGTAGTCAAGTTTTAAGTCTTCGGCTGTTCACCTCTCTGGGCTTCAATGTATTCATCAGCATAATATGGTATATTTGGCTGCTCTTCTCATGTCTTTGGGCTATTACTGTAAATGCGAAATGAAATGCCTTGCAAACTATGTGATTGGATAGAAGGGCATGATCATATCTTTATCTTTTACCATAAACTATAAAATGTCAGTGTTGAGATGTCTGTGAGGTGTGTGTGGGAGGTGTTGGGGCCAGCTTTTGTCCTGGCAGTGTTTAGGGCAGTACCTCCTCAAAGCATCTCTTTTCACTCCACAGTGCTTGCCACTCTTCATATGAAGGATATCTACAAAGAAACGTATCAAAAGCTGTTTTTGTTTCAGGTGAGTACCTTTCAGAGAGGGGATACTTTTTGATGTTGGCTCATTGTAGGACCTCTTAGCTCATATACTTAAGCCATTCTTAGCATGTCAGCTAAAGCATTAATTCACATGTCCATACAATACCTATTCTAGATGGTTTGGGGTTCAACTCACATTCTTGCAATAGATGATCCTTAGCCTCTTAGAAGAATACAGGTCAGGAAGCACAGCACACTAGCTGGACAGCACCACTCAGGTCTCTTCAGTCTTCATAGTGTCCTTAACTCAGCAGCTAGGTGAAGGGAATGGGAACATGAGAATGAATGGGAGCCATGTTGGCATAGGAGTCTCAAGCTCAGTTTAAGAACTACTGTCCTTCATAATAGCCTTATAGACACAGTTTCCAGGTATGGTCAGGGTAGTTCCTGGTTTCCAAATATTTTGTACACTAGGGAGGCCCAAAGCTATGGCTTCTCATTAGGAATGAAGAGATCATTTACAGTCCTTCCGTCCAGATGCAATTTACTAATCAGAGGTTATTTTTTTACCAGAAGTAATCTACTTAACATAGGTAACAGTCTACCTTTATCAGGTGTTCAAGTGATCAGAATAGAAGGTGAACCCACAGCAACTTTTCATGGGGAAGAATAAAGGTTCTTGTAAATGTTTACTCATTACCTAATACTTATGGTCCAGTGAGAAAGACAAAACATGTAAATGAACTACACAAAATAGAAAATGTTACATGCAATAGGAGCATTAATGGGCACTTAGAAACCAGAGAGTGGCAGAGATTTCTGCTGCCAGAAGAGAACACTTACTAAATAATCAAGTCATTTGCTAATTACTCATCAACAGAGTCATGGTGTGGTGCTGTGGGTTAATGCGCTAGGCTGCAAAGTTGGTTTGAACTGCAAGGTTAGTGGTTCAAGCTCACCAGTAGCTCTTTAGAAACTCTATACAGGTTGCTGTGGGTTGGAACCAATTCGGTGGCACTTAATAAAAACATCAACATAAACATAAGGCAGTGCCAGGTACACTAAAAATAAGTTAAGTACTGAATCCCAATGTCATGCAGTCTGAGACAACACTGACTTAGAAGAGCACAAAGGTTCATAGGCAGCCACATAAGGATGGCAACATGAGTGGTGCAATGCCAGGGATTGCTATGAGGGATCCCAGAGAGTGTGAGGAGAAGATGTAATTCCAGATACAAGGTGAGCCCTCAAGTAGGTGTTAGATTAATGATGATGAAGTAGGAAGAATGGGGATCAGGAGTGAAAAGTGATATGGGGTCTGGGGCAAGCAAAATCTTGAATTTAAGCTCATTCACCATTCAGGCACTCAAGAAATGTTTCCATCATTTTCCATGCATCAATTAGGCACTGTTTTAGGCACTGTGGATTATTATTGAACATATGCACAATTTAAGCATTTTCAGGATTTATATTCTAGTTGGGGAGACAAACAATAAACAAATAGGAGTAAATATAAAATGTGAGATAGTAACAAGAGCTCATTGTTGTTGTTAAGTGCTGTTGGGTCAGTTCTGACTCATAGTGACCCTGTACAGAGTTTCAGAGGCACAATTGGTAGGTTTCAATCACCAACCTTGTGGTTAGCAGTTCAGTGCTTATCCTACAGTGCCACAATAGAGCTCAAGGAAAACATTATATGAGAATATTTTTGTGTAAATATTAAGCCCTTCCACACATTAAAATTTTTTATTTCTTACTTTGTAAGAAATTTTCATTAGGCAAATCTGCAGCACAAGACCTCTTTAAAGTGTTCCAGAGCAAAGATGTCAGTTTGAGGACTAAGGTGCACCTGACCTAAGTCATGGTATTTTCAATAGCCTCATGTGCATGTGAGCGTTAGATAATGAATAAGGGAGACTGTAGAAGAATTGATGTATTTGTGCTATTGTGTTGGAGAAGAATATTGAAGGTACCATGGGCGGGTAGCATAGTGGTTACGAAAGGAGCTACAAACCTTAAAGACAGCAGTTCAAAACTACCAGCCACTTCGTGGGAGAAAGATGAGGCTTTCTACTCCCGTCAAGATTTGCAGCCTTGGAAACCCTGTACAGGGTCGCTATGGGTCGGAATAGACTCGACGGCACTTAACAACAACAACAACAACATGGGCTTCCAGAAGAACAAACCGGTCTGTGTTGGAAGAGATACAACTAGAATGCTCCTAAGAAACTAGGGTGACAAGATTTCACATCTCATACTTCAGATATGTTGTCAGGAGGGACTTGTTGTTGTTGTTGTTAAGTGCTGTCGAGTCGGTTCCGACCCATAGCGACCCTGTACAGGGTTTCCGAGGGTGTAAATCTTTACGGGAGTAGAAAGCCTCATCTTTCTCCCGTGGAGCAGCTGGTAGTTTCGAACCGCTGACCTTAAGGTTCACAGCCCGATTCGTAACCACTACGCTACTGGAAAAGAACATCACACTTAGTAGAGAGGAGGGACAATGAAAAAGAGGGAAACCCCCAATGAGATAGATTGGAACAAGTAGCAACAGTGTGCTCAAGTTTGGCAGCAGTTATGAGATTGGTGCAGGACTGGGAGTTGTTTTGTTGTACATAGTTGCTATGAGTCAGAACCAACTCGACAGCAGTTAACAACATTAGCAACATTACTCTTACTTGCTTTATACGGATAAAGAACCTGTGACTCAGAACATTAAATTTCCGATTTGAACCCATACCTAGACAATCAAGTGATGCAGAAGAAGCCACCCAGACCCAACTCCCATAGTTTTGTCCTTGTACTCCTATATTGCTATGTCCCATCTCAATGCTTTTTTGTTGTTGTTGTTGTTGCAAGAAGGATTTTACATAGAAGGGCAATCACAGGAAGCAAATAACAAAAAATGAGAGCCCACAGCTTTAGTAAATGAATTGTAATTTGTTTCCAGTGCATTTCTTTTACTTGACCTAGTAAGAAAAGAACACGAGAGAAACAAAATTCTTAGGATAGATGTTTTAACGGTAAGTGACTAACAGGAGAGAGCAGAGCTTTTAAGTCCCTACTTTGTTTTTGTATTTTCTAACAAAAAGAATCCTTTCCCAACTGGACAAGGAAGAGCCTATAGTTAAGTAAAAGCTAAAGCTGGGACTAAATGAGAAGTTAGCTGTTTCCAACTTACAGGAAAGTTCCGGGTGCCATAGTAGAGTAGGCTCTCTGTACTTACTGATGGTCAAGCAGACATGCTCCTTGCCTTTGGGGAAGGCTAGAACTAGTTCTTTTCCATAGCTTGTGAGTACTCTTTATATCTTTATTCTGATAAAAATTTTCATGAGAGAAGATACAGAATTCATGTTTATCAAAGGTCGAAGAGATAGTGCTGGAAAGAAGTGACAATCTGACAAACAATGGGATCGTCTGTGTGTCAGTAGATTGAAATCAATAAAGAATAACTGTAAACTCCCAGCACTGAAATAAAGAAAAAAACAAAACAACAGCAAAGCAACAAAGCTAAAGGACCAAATGCAGAAATGAAGCGATCCAGTTTGAGCACAGTTTATGTGACAGAGTTTTAGGAAGTTAGTTGACCGCAAGTACCACCCAAATGACAGCTGCTGTCAAGAGTTTTGAAAACTGGGATTTTATTACTAGAAGTGAATTATTTTTTAATAAGTCTTCAGTAAGATATTCCCAGGTTCTTCATACTGGTAAAAATATATTTGGAGTGTTTGATTTTTTGTTTTTGTATTCAGGAAATCATATCTCCAGAGGTATTTTAACAAGGCATACTATTTTCAGGAAATTTGGTTTAGGGGTTCCATGGAAAGATGAACTATAGGAACTGGGAAGGGGTCTCATATTAAAGTTTGTGGGAATCTTCAAAATTTGGGGCTATTTTCATGTGAAATGGAAATTCTTTGTAGTACTAGAAGGCAGAATTAGTTGCAATGAGTAAAAATGACTCAACATAAGGATTATAATATATAACACAAACAATGGAATGGTGATTGGAGAATGACTGTTAGCAGCCCAATATTTAGATCTGGCAATACATACATATGGTGAAGAGTGGTATATGAGAACACCTCAAATAAAACATAATTTATAATGTCAGAATTTTCATTTGAGAACTTAGTGCTACATACAGGAAGGAAAAAACAGTCACTTAAATTAGATTTAATCAGCCTAAAGGATTTAGAACACTAGTTTCAGAAAGCATTATAATGTAAAAAAATGTCTAGGAAGATACAAATAAAGATAAGGCCAAATCACAGACTTTGTGGTGGATCAAGTTAGAGGGTTCCACAACTTTCTTGGAAGCATTTGGCAGCTTAGGTAACAACACAGATATGTAACGGATAGTTGGAAGGACAACAGAATTGAAGACTGTAATAGGCACAAGAATGGAAATTCAAAGGATGGATTAATCTTACAGTGCCAGAATAGGCAACATTGAAGGGGCATTCGATACGAATAGTTGTTGTTGTTGTTAAATGCTGTTGAGTCCATTTTGACTCATAGTCACCCTGCATAGGATTTCTGAGGAGACGCTGGTGAGTTTGAACCACTGACCTTGTGATTCAAACCGACATTATAGTCCAGTGCTTATCCTACAACACCACATCAGGCTAGTAAATCCCAATGAATTGGAAAGATGAAAAGACTAGAGAGGACACAGTGATAGGAAAGGGAAGAGTGGGAATCATGAGATGCATGGGAAAACTGGGTTTCTGGAATATTCATTTAATAGAACTCAACATTTTTGGTGAAAATTCATTGAACATTTTTTAGCATTTCCTTTGTGTCAGGCAGTTTCTTACTCGACTTTTAATCTGAACATACAAGCAATTCTTTGGTGCTAGAAAGAAAGATGAAATGGCAGTTTTACTTTACTTCCAGTCTGGACAGGAAGGCCACTGAAGTCAAAAGAGGACTAAAAAGACCAGGAACATGATGTGACTATGTGAGTAGAACTCAGAGAGTCTGAGACGAAATGCTCTGAGTTGTAAAGGTGGTCTTTGAGAACTGGATTTTATAATTGCTTTCTAATGACTATAATCATTTCTAAATTGACGTTTTTTCCCCGCTCAGGGTCTTAGTCCTATATTGATGACAGTATATACAGCACAGTCTTTTGACACGTGGGGCCATATCCGCAATACTCTTGATATGCATGGTGAGTTTTCCTTAGTGTCTTTTTTAGGAGAATACAATTGCACAGATAGCATGGGTCTGTTTTTTTCTGCTGATTAGTAACTTGAGATTTATGTGACAAGTATCTTAGATGTCATGGTTTTATAAGCATCAACGTGATTAAATAGATACTTAGCAGACATCTGCACCATAAAATGACAGCATAGAATTGGCAATCCAGAGTCCAATTTAATTGAAATTGAAATTTTAGCAGGGTTTCCATACTATTTGTCAAGGTTATTAATAAAAGTGAATTGTTCTGACAACTAGGAAAGTTCAGGGAAAGTGTGTTGGGTAGAAGTAGAAAATTATTTGATCTGAGATTATCCACCAAGTCCTCCCTAGAGAATTGGTCGTGATCATTAAAATGTAATTTGAAGAGAAATATGCCTGGTATCATAATTTCAGAATCATCTTTGCCGGAAGTTACCAACTGCCTACAAAACACTTAACCTAGACATCTCTGTTCCTAAGACAAAGATATACAAATAATTGTTTAGTACATACTGTTTGTTTGATAGAAAAAAAAAATCTTCCAAAATGTGAAATCCAGAAAAAAAAAAAAAAAAAAAAAAAAAAAAGACTAGGTTATGAAAATCATGTTGAAAATAATTCTACCAGTTCTTTCCAGAGGATTTTTACTAAACCTATACATTTTCTGGGTGTGAGATCTTGAAGTTGAATATTATGGGTCTAGATAATTTAAGGGTCCCAGAAAGATTACTAGCATATCTCATACTCTGATTCTCTTCCCCATTCTCATTTTCTTTTTATCTACAGTGTTATTGAAAGATGTGCGAGAAATGTTCACGCTTAGGTACTCCCTCAACTTCTATATGTTCCATGGTGGCACGAACTTTGGCTTCATGGGTGGAGCTATGTTTGCAAACAAATATGACCCCATGGTCACCAGCTATGGCAAGTACTTGTCTCTGAGTTGCCTCCAGCCCACTTCACCCTACCACTGGAGTCCAGAACTTCCAAGGGAAGTCCCTGAAAACAATCTTCAGAACCATTTGTCTGTGTTTTTTTTTTTTTTAATTTAATGTGTGCTAGAAATTAAGGATTTGATGTTTGTCCTTCTTGACAGTATTAAAATTTATATACCATTAAGATAGGTTTTTTGGGACATGGCAATTAGAGATGACAATAGCCTAGTCTTGTTACTCTGTCTCACAGATGGTTGTTCATAGTTTCATTGCAGAACAGTATACTCTGGGTAATGCATCAGAGTATAGACTAATAATTATCTGTAACCTTATAGACCAAGAAGAAAACTGAAGGCCAGGAAAAAAAAAAGGAATTCAATTGGAAATTGAATAGGAAGGAAAAACCATTGTATGAAAGTAGTCTTGAGTTCTTGGCTAGGGGTTTACTAGAGGTCCATGGGCTGGCGCTTTTTGTCTTTTATTGAAAGTCTTGGGAAGCATGGCAGTCTTTCCTGGCTTGAACTAATGGGGACACAGGCAAAGGTTTTAGGAGATGGTGACTTGGCATTTTCTTGTGTAATGCCCAAAGTTTTTAACCCCAAAGCTACCACATTAAGGGTACTAAACTCCCCCTCCCCCCCTTTTCTTTGGGAAGCTGGAGCTTTACTGGAGGAAGTGAAACATTCCTTTATATTTTTCAGACTATGGGGCACTGCTGACAGAAGCTGGAGACTACACACCTGAGTACCTCACATTTCAAGAATATTTTAGCTCTGTTTTAGGTACCCAACAATAACCTTAATCTGGACAAAATCCCAACCACTTACTTAAGCAGCCTCTATCCTAGAAAAAAAAGGTGTGAGGGGAAAGGGACAGATCTTTTTGGGAGACGTCCAGTTTTCTCCGATTTATTGTATAAGTACGCACCAGGATTCAAGTATGACCCTGGTGCAATTCCTGCCTTCTTGATGATTGGCGGAGTTCTGGTGTGGTGCTATAGGATAAGCACTGGACTGACAACCTCAAGGTTGGTAATTCAAACCCACCAATTGCTTCTTGGAAACCCCATAGTGTTGCTTTGAGTGAGACCAACACAACAACACTTAACAACAATAACAGCAAAGGTGCTTAGCATATAGAGCCAAGTTGATGGTGAGGACCATGCATCAGAATACTCTGTGGAACTAAAGCCCAGAGGAATCTTATCACTCACTGCCTGTTTCATGACTCTTCCTGAAGTTGGGGACTTGTGCCCTGTGACTGAACCTTTAATTTCTGGTGGCTTTAGGATGACAGAGCACTCTGTGCTCATGGATGGGACAGGGTGAAGGATCTTGAAACAATTCAATTACCTATTTTTCATTTCAGTGGTTCCTGCACACCCCCAACTAGAATATGAACCTAAGGCTGCATATAAATCAGTGATACCATCACACTACTTGCCACTGTGGGATATCCTGCCCTACCTGGAGAAGGTGAGCATTTCCTGAACATAGAAACATACAGAACTTTTGGACAGAAAAGAGGGGGAAAGCCTTTGCTCACAAAATAGAAGAGACTGTTTGGCTCCATAATTAAAGCAATTACCTAAAGGGGGTGTCATTTAATGTTACTTTCCGTAAGTTTTCTCGTCCATAAAATGATGCTAATAATAGGATTATATACATCATAGGATTGTATGTGGCTTTAAAAATTAACATCTGTACCTGGCAAATAGTAAGTGCTAAAGATTTGTTGCATGTTGTTAATGTTTTTTAGAGAAATTATTTTATTGATATAAATATATATATTTGTATTTAAATAGATATTTACACAAGGGTAAATAAAAATCATTGCTACAAAATCATAAGAAACTTTCAATAAACAAAAATATAAAACTGTGAAACCTCATTTTATTGAGGATTTCCCTAACTTTTGCTGATCCTCTACTTTGCTAAACATGACGTCTTTTTCTAGCGACTTGTCTTTCCTGATGGTATATGTAAAGTAAGTGAGCCAAGTGAGCTGAAGTCTTTTCATTTTCACTTCTAAGGAACATTCTGGCTATTGTTGTTATTGTTAAAGGGCTATGCTACTGTTGTTGACAGGTGCCTTCGAGTTGGTACTGACTCATAGCAGCGCTATGCACAACAGAACAAAACACTGCTTGATCCTGCGCCAACCTCACAATCGTTGCTACACCTGAATCCATTGCTGCTGCCACTGTGCCAATCCATCTCATTGGGGGTCATCCTCTTTCTCTGACCCTCTACTTTACCAAACATGATATCCTTCTCCAAGGACTGGTCCCTCCTGACAATATGTTTAAAGTATGAGAGATGAAATCTTGTCATCACGGCTTCCACGAAGCATTCTGGCTGTACTTTTTCCAACACAGATTTGTTAGTTCTTTGGCAGTCCATGATAGATTCAATATTCTCCTCCAGCAGCATAGCTCAAATGCATCAGTTCTGCAGTCTTCCTTATTCAGTGTTCAACTTGCACAATATATGAGGTTACTGATTTTCTTTGAGATTACTTTGTATTCCATTAACTTTTTTTAATTAAAAAGAAAACTTACAATTTTATTTTGTTGAAAAAAATTACAGTAAAACACACACCAACTTTCTACATGTCCATTTATAACAGTTTATGCTTTGAGTTGTACCTCCATTCCTACCCTCCTTTTCTGAATGGCTCCTCGCTCAGTGACAATCTTAACTGGCCCATAGGTTTTACTTTATCTTCTGAATTCCTGTTGTCAATTTGATCCCTTACAGTTCTTAAAACAGCAAAATCTTCAGGACGACATTCTAGTTAAGTTTATATACGTTTTGGTTTTAAGACTTCAGGGGATATTTTGGGGTTAAAGAGAAAAGGTTTTAATATCATTTCAGGTTTTTGATACTACATCAAAATGTGACTTATGGTAGTGTCTTAAAGATTAGCTAAAATGAAGACTCAAACCACATTAATAAATTTTGAACTATTACATTGAAATAAACTGGGGTCTCTAATAGAGAATGGATTTTTAGCTATGCATAACTTTGCAGTATCATTTGGAAAATATTGCTTTACCAAGTAATGCAGTCTAAAGTTGGCATATAACAATAAACAATATCAAAAGGTTCACATTTGCCATCACCTGGCTGATAAAACTTGACCACCATGCCAAGTTCATGGTTATCCATAATCCTAATTATTGCATCAAAGCTTGCATTTTGTCATGGCAATACTGTCAGTTGTTTTTTGAAGTGACAATATTCATTTGAGAAAATGTCTTTCAAAGGCTTACAGTTAAACAGCCAGTGTTTGTTAGTCATTCTTTCAAATAAAAATGGTCTGAAAAAGGTGGTTAGGTTTACTCATAATTCAATGACACATCTGCAATTGGTCCACAATTCTGTAAGGCTTTTGGTACTGTTATCACCTTCATTATTCCACGTAGCTTTTTAATGCTAACTTTAAAAATTTATTGAAATTTTCTGTTGTAGTCTATTTGCTACTATCGAGTGGTGGGTTTGTCTGTTGATGTTATTCAGATCCTGTTTCTTCATTCACTTTCTTTCTAGTTGTTGTTCTATCCACCAAGAAGTAGTATATTACCATCTCCAACCATTTTTATAGATGTACTTCTTTTAATTCTAAGTGTTTTCTTTATATATTTTGGGGCTCAGGCTGCTTGGTTATTTTATCCCCTCCCTTCTTTTTTTTTTTTAAATAATATTGCCGCTCCTGATCTGTTTTTATTACTGTTTGTTTGGTATTGTTTCCCCATCCTTTGATTTTAACCTATGATGCCTGTGTGTCAACCTACAGATAGGTCACTTTTAAAACCTATTCTGCCACTATGGCTCTTAACTGGATCATTTAATCCATTTATAGTCACTATAATTACAATAGAGAGGAATTTACTTCAGTCATTTGGTCATAAATTTTTTGGCTTGATGAGGTTGATGACTTCTTTGTTCCTTTTTAACATCGGTGCTGAGTTTTTAAAAACAGGTTTTCCCCTTTTATTTTAGTGAGTCTTGGTTTCTTCTTTTCTTTGGTGAGTAGTGTTATATACTTTATGGTTACAGTGACGTTTACAAATGTAACACCTACATTTACAATGCTGTCTATTGAAGCCACCTTAATTTCCTTGGCATGTGAAAATTCTGTTTCTACACCAATCATTCCCTTTCTTGTTTTGATGTTACCATCAATTACAACTTTGTACCTTGGATTCCCAGTAATCACATTTTAAGTTTATTTTGTTGTTGTATGTATTCAGGTCATTGTTATGTGTCAATACTTTGAGTGGTTGGCTGGTCTAGTTAGTTTTCTTTCTGGAGGACTCCCTTTAATATTTCCTGTAGTGCTGGTCTGGTAGTTACGAATTCCCTTAATTTTTCTATATCTGGAAATGTCCAAATTTCACTCTTGTTTTTGAATGACAATTTTGCTGGATATATTATTCTTGGTTGATAGTTCTTTTCTTTCAAGACTCTGTAAATGTCACCCCATTCCCTTCTTGCCTGCATTGTTTCTGGGGAGAAATCAGCACTTAATCTTATTGGGGCCCCTTTGTAGGTGATATTTTGCTTATTTTGTGCTGCCTTCAAGATTCTTTATCTTTGTTTCTGGAAAGTGAAATTATAACATGTTTTGGTGTTTTTCTCTTTGGGTTTAAACCTATATGGAGTTCGTTGAGCTTCTTGGATGACAATCTCTTTATCTTTAATGATATTGGGGAAGTTTTCTGCCACTATTTTGTCAAAAATTTCTTCTAGACTTCGTTTCCTCTCTTCTTCTTCTGGAATTCCCATTATGCATAGATTGTTCCTCTTGATGGTGTCCCGCAGAACCTTTATTTTCTCTTCAATTTTCTTTTCTCTTTCTATTTGTTCTTCAAGTGGAGTAATTGCAGGAGTTTTATTTTCTATATTAGTGACTCTTTCTTCTATAGTTTCAATTTTACTTTTGTGTTATTCCACGGAATTATTTATTTTTGTTATTTTATTACTAAGGTCTGGAATTTCTAGTTGTTTCATACCTAATGTTTCTATCTCTTTATTGAGTTTCTCATTTGTTCTTGTATTGTTTTCCTGAATTCTTCCAA